ATGGGATGGCTCCTTTCAGAAGTTGAGGTCCAAACTCCTTAACTGAGGATTTACAGGCATCGCGTACACCAGAAAACGTTTGTTTCTTCTCTGTAATGGAAATTGGATCAAATGATCCAAACGAAACCATCGAGCAGACGGCTGTTGGATTCTCACCAATTTCAAGTTTGATTTTATTTTCTTTGTCCAGACGAACAATGAGATCTTTCAAGACGAAGCATTTTTTCACTGGGTGGCTAATGATTCTGTGAAATTTACAGTATTTAGGATGATCGATCTAACCAGCTTCCTCGGGTCTTTTTGGTACTGGAAGTTTGATTATCTTCAGTTCAAGGAGCTGATCCAGAATTCCAGAAACTTCAAAATCTGAGAATGGGTACTCCTTTCCTTCAAATTCTTTTAGAGTCACATGACCTCTACTTTGGACTTGTCCTCTATTAGGTCTGAATTCTGGCTTTGGTTTTGGGTTCGAGCTTGGCCTGTGGAAGGCTATCTTTGCGAGAGCAGTAGAAATCGCCATAGCTTCTTTAGACTTACTTGCCTTGGCGTCTTTCCTTATCTCCTTCTTAGGATCTTTCTTGTCACGTAGATCACTTGGTAAGTATCTCTCATGCCTTGCAATTTGGAGCTCCAAGTCATGAGCACGTGTCGCCAATTCTTCGAATGAGTGAGGCATGTTTGCTTGGAGATTATAGAGTAATCCCCAATGCATGCCTTGTACACACATGTTGATGGAAGATGCTTCGCTTATTCATTTTTTGCAATTAAGTTCGAGGTTCCTCCAACGTTCAATGTACTCCACAACGGGCTCTTCCTTGCTTTGTTTTGTTCGAGCAAGTTCTGGAAGGCTGACAGTGCATCGGGTACTGTAGAAGTGTGTTAGGAACTCTCGCTCAAGCTGATCCCAACTATTAATTGACTCGCCGGTAAGTCCGTGTACCATTCAAATGCAGAACCTTTGAGGGAGTGTATGAACTGCTTCACCATAGTGTCATTGTAAGTACATGCATTGTTACAAGTCTCAATAAAATGGGCAACATGTTGCTTTGCATTGTCTTTTCCATCAAAATACTGAAATTTTGGAGGTTGATAACCGAGTGGCATCTTTATTTCGTCGATTCAATGACTATAGGGCTTGGCATACACCAGTGAAGATTGTAATGAACCACCATACTGGGCACGAATGGTGTCTGCAATCATATGTTGAAGTTATTGGACGGACAGAGAGCCAACGGAGAGTTGAGTGGTGTCATGTAACACGTTTTGAACAAATGTCCGATCATGTATATCTTACTTTTGTTGGCGCTCTTGGGCTTCTAACTCTTTGGCCTTGGAAGATCCTGAATTTTCCTGATCTTCTTTAGTCAATGGATTTTGCGACTCTAGCCTATGTGTGAGTGCATCAATCTGTGCATCTTTGTCTTCCAATGACTTTGTTAATTTTTCAATGGCTAAAGCCATTTGTTGAATTCGGTCATTTGAGCCCGATGCCGCTTCTGTGACCATCACTGGCTCAAGTGATTCTTCAGATGAGACATCATCTACCCACTTTTGCTAAGAAATGGCATGAGGGGATCCAGACAAGGATCTACCACTGGAAATGGAGCTCGAACGAGAACTTTTCGCTGAACTCATGATTTTTTCCATCGAATGAGAGTTTGACTTTTTGAAGGCAATTTTCACTTTGCCTTTGTTGGAGAACTTCTTCAACGGTGTGACCTGTTGAGTTTTCCCGGTGTTTGTTTGGGCCCTGGTCGCATGGAAGAGTTCGGCAAGTGTCTCTTCAAGATGAGTCATAATTTGTTTCGCCTTTTCGCCTGCCATTGCTAATGTAGTAGTTGAAATTTGAAGATTTTGAGATCAAAAGATGAGAGGACAAGAAGATCCCACCGGACGTGCGAAGAAATTTGTACGACGAAATCTCGTATATTAAAATATTGTATTTTGATAAATACAAGTGATGTTGACCTTCGTGTAGTTGCAAAATTGCAAAATCCTCTTATTAATGATCTAAATATTTGAAGACGAAAGGCCACGTGGCTTGAATCCTGATCTTCAAGAATTTGTTGAAAATTTGATTTGTCGAAATTTGACTTGTTTGGAACTTGAATCTTGAGGTTTGGACTTGAATTTGAATTTGAATTGATTTGAAGAAAACTTTGATCTTCTTGAACTTGGCGTGAACCTATTTGATTTGAAGAAGATTTTAATCTTCTTAGGGTTTACAGAGCTTAGGTTTGATAGAATTTCTTCCCTTCTTTCAGCTTTGGGATTTCTTAAGTACTTCGTGGCGTTCTTTACTTTCTTTCTTGCTTGCTTTCTGTGTGTCGTTTTATGGACCATTGGTCTTATTTATAGGGGAGGATTCATGCTAATTTTGGTAATTACTCAATTATATTTAATTAAAAGAGATAATTGAATAATTATAATTTTATTTGTTTGTTTATTTATTTAAAATGTGGTATGGACTTTTGGATTTTTATGAACTTTAGTAGACTTAAGATTTAATTGGACTAATGATTTAAATCGACCAAATCCATTTTATTTTATTTACTTATTTATTTATTTTTATTTTTATGTCTACAGTGGTAACACCCATTCATATTACCCTTCTGTCTCCTCTCTCCTATTCTAATTCTTCCCTGAAAAAATTTCCAACCCCCACCCCCAACCAAAAAAAAAATAAAAATAAAAAATTCCAACCCCTTTCTTATTATTTCGGACAACTTCCCCAAGCCCGAAACTCCGTTCTTATTATTTTAATGACTTATCATTTTAGGAACATCAAAATATTAATTATATTTGACAATTCCTGAATTGCTAAATGGAGTTTTTCAAAGCTAAATGACAAAACTACTCAAACACTAAAGCAAATTTGTTTGAATTTTGAATTGCAAAATTGGTAATACCCAAAATATAAAAGTGATGTTTTAAGTTACGTGGAAATGTGCTCGATTAAAAAATTGGATTAAAATTTAAGTCAAAATTAATAATTAATTTTAACTATATGTTTTTATAGAATCTCCATTTTTATGAAAATCTAATTTTTATCTAATCTAAACAGGGCTAAATGTTACAATTATCTAAATTTTGTATTGTAGCTTGACTTATAATTAACTTATGAGTGTTTTTTTATTTTTTATTTTTTTTGGAAAATTCAAACAAATGCTTAGTCCAAAAAAATATATTCAAAATTAGTTACTCATAAAGCCTCTATTTGGCTCCAATTTTAAAATTTTTCAAACTCATTTTCACTCATAATTTTTTATAAAATCTACAATTTTTATCAAAATAACTAAAAACCAAACTTTTACCTAAACCAAATAAGGGGCATATTTTACTTAAGAGCTAGGGCTATATAATTAAATAAAAGAAAACAGAATAACACTTTTTATTTAGACTCATGGCAGTCACAAGTTTATGTGACACGTTAATGATATTTAGAATGCAATTTCAAATGGAACTCACATTCTTATATTTGACATATCAAGGTACTTAAGAGCTAGGGCTATATAATTAAATAAAAGAAAACAGAATAACACTTTTTATTTAGACTCATGGCAGTCACAAGTTTATGTGACACGTTAATGATATTTAGAATGCAATTTCAAATCGAACTCACATTCTTATATTTGACATATCAAGATTAAATCTACCAGTGGTCATCAAATTTTATATTTAGTGTCAATGTAACCACCCAATTTAATTTTATTTCACCAATGCCACTCAATTTCAAAAAGATTAAATCTACCAGTGGTCATCAAATTTTATATTTAGTGTCAATGTAACCACCCAATTTAATTTTATTTCACCAATGCCACTCAATTTCAAAAAATGTTTTATTATGGTCATCCAATTTCTTTTCACTAATTTTTAAAGGGGTAAAATGGTAATTTTGCATTGTATATAAAATATTTTTTCAAAAATATAATAAAATAAAAAATTATTAAAAAAGTAACTTAAAAAATAAAATAAAACAAAATTTTTTTTAAGTAAATAACCTTTTTTGTAAAATAAGTTTTTATTTTATTATTATTTTTTAAATTTTATTTTATATAAAATGCAAGAGTGAAAACAATGTGAAAAGAAATTGGGTGTCTACAGTGAAATGTTATATGAAATTGAATGGCCATGATGAAACATTTTATGAACTTGGATGGTCTTGATAAAATCAAATCAAATTGAATAGTTATGGTGATACTAAATATAAAGTAGGGTGACCATGATAAAATCAAATCAAATTGTATGACTATGATGACACTAAATACAAAATTGAACGATCGTTGGTGAAGTTAACCTGACATATCATGAATAAATGTGACAATTAATCATGAATCTAGACAAATGTTCAAAACAGTATTTTAAAATTGAGCCTTAAGATATGAACAGAAAGGCATTTTGTAGAATTGCTACAGATTACTCATAATAGGGGATGGGGTGGGGGATTTTTTAACATTTGTTATCATCACATGTGAGATTTATGATAATTCCATTTTCTGTACAAATGGAATAAACCTTTAAAGTTGCGGCTATCCTCAGAGATGTCAACGAGATGAGTCAAGTCGAGCTGACTTGTGAGTCGAAATTCGAGGCTTAAGTAAAATGATCGAGCTTTTTTTTCGGGCCGAGTAAAGCTCAACCAAATTAGGTTCGACCCGAGTTTTCGGCTCAATTTTATTATTATTATTATTATTATTATTATAAACATCGCAGCAACTTGTTGCCTTTAAAACAATTTTGTTGTATTTTTTTTTTTTAAATATAGGCTTGTGAACACGAGCCTGGTAGCCACACGAGTCGGCTTGGATTTTGTCCGGCACCCCAAACTGGGACTCTCGAGCATCGAACTGAACCTTGAGCGGTCCTAGCCGACGAGTTCGATTGACATTCCTAACTATCATAATCCTACAGAATCGGGTGGGAAGCAAAAAGTAAATAATTCTACTATGCCCTCTATTTTGAAAAATTGGCCAAAAATAATAAGAAATTAACACACTGCAAATGGATAGAGAACCCTCAACCCCATGTGCCTATTCCGAAGGAGGGTGGAAGATGCTGAGAAGAAAGCCGAGCAAAATCGAAGTCAGAGTTGAAGACAAAGAAGAACTCGAAGAAGCCCGCCGTCTTCGCGGGGCCCCTGCCAGCACCAGTTCCACAACCGCATCTTCACTTCTCCACCGCTTCGATCGTTCGTCTCTTGATCCCTCCTCCAAATCCCATCGCATCGGCCTCTCCTCTTAAAAACCCATAAATCAGAACCCTCATAAAACTGTAAGAAAAGTTACGTACATGCCGATCCTTTTTTAGACTGATGGAGATTGAAGTGAAGCTCCGTTTACCAAACAAAGCTTCCCACCAGAAGCTTCTTCAATTACTATCTCCATTTCACATAACTACACACCACCAGCACAATACCTTCTTCGATGGAACGGGTTCCCAGCTGAGCTCGCGCGGAGCCGTGTTGCGCCTCCGGTTTTATGAGCAAACTGACATCCCCAAATGCTTTATTTGCCTCAAAGCCAAAGCGGTGATTACCAACGGGGTGAGCCGCGTCGAGGAGGATGAGGAGGAGGTGGACCCGTCTATTGGGTATGCCTGTTTGGAAGATCCGGGGAAGCTGATAAACGTCGATTCAAGGGTTTTGGGGAGGGTTAAAGAGGAATTTGGAGCAAATGGTTTCAAGGGGTTGGGGGGCTTCAGGACTGTGAGAAGTGTGTATGAGTGGAACGGAGTGAAATTGGAGGTAGATGAGGTCAAGTATGAATTCGGGGATTTGTATGAGGTCGAGTGTGAGAATGTGGAGCCTGAGAAGGTCAAGGGGATGATTGAGACTTTCTTCAAGGAAAATGGGATTGAGTATTCAGAGTCACTCATGTCAAAGTTTGCAATTTTCCGGGCCGGAAAGTTGCCTTCTTAGTAAGTCAATTTAACCGTGATTTATGATATGGATTTCATTTATGTATTGTGCTCACTCTCCTGGTCTTCGATTGATGTTTGCACTGATTTATTTTTTTCCTAATATAATCATGAGAACTGTAACTTGAAAACGTAGTTAAGTAAAATGGCCATTAGACATGTTATAGTTTATATTGCTGAGTTTAATGCAGGACCAAAATAATTTGAAGAATGCAGCAAGGTTCAAGATGTTAAGACGGATGTGGAATAGCAATAGAATAGATAGAATAATTATTGAGACCATACGCTTACAGAGGAAAAGACATCTTGGATGATTCTAGCATGTTTTATATAGTTAGAGCTTTTCATTGTACAAGATTGGCGAATCTCATAGAATATGTTAACATATTCTAGCATGTTTTATATAGTTAGAGCTTTTCATTGTGCAAGATTGGCGAATCTCATAGAATATGTTAAAAATGTTAAGAGGGAAAGGGTTCTTATTTGAATGCGGTGATGAAACCCTGGGAGGGAAAGGGTTCTTATTTGAATGCGGTGATGAAACCCTGGGAGTTAGCTCAGGCTCTGGATTTGCTCCCCAATTGTCACCAGTTCGAGTTCTTTAGGGCCACTTAGGTGAGTATTCGACCATAAACTTCAGGGTCCCGTGGGATTAGTCGAGATGCGCGTAAGTTGACTCGGATACCCATGGTCATAAAAAAAAAATGCGGGTGATGAAAAAAGATCAATGTGTAAACAACTCCAAGGTGTAACAGTTTTGACGATCGAGTCAAAGTTCTAATTTGAGGGTCAAGTTTCCGTTACCGGAAATTCTTAAATGATTAAAACTTATTGCACAACGTGCTCATTTCATTTTTATCAAGTTGGATTCTTTAGATCTGTTGTAAATTCCATGCTTAAGAAGCTTTGCCGTCTTCCTTCAGGTTATCTGGCTGGATGTTTTTTCAGAAGCTGGTGGAAGAGGATTAATAAACGGAGGGATTTTCCTTATATACAAGCTCTCTAGAACCTATATGGACTTGAAGTCCAAGATTAACAACTTGGTGTTTTCTGGTTCTTTTGTTTGGCCTTTTCATCTGATGAACTGCCGATAATGTCTCTAAATGCAAATTTGATATTTTCCTCTTTTTGTTTCATGTACTGGAGTTGATTTAATACCATCAAAACAAAATGTGATCAATATGACTTTTAATTTTGATTTATTTTTAGCTTGTGATTGACAGTGATGGCCTTGTTTAGCATTATTTCTAGTGAAATATGATTCAACTCTTTGCGATAACATCAGCATTTAGATATTTGGTGCAAATGAATTTTATTCTCCATGGAAATTGTTCTGCGTAGACCAAAAAGGCAGCAGGGCCATCCGAATTGCCTATTTTTTGGGCTCCGGCCATTTAAATGTGATGTTTTCCTTTTGCTTTTGTGAAATTACTTGTACAATTGATCAGCTTTTTCTTACCATAGGACTCAACAAAGGTTTTCTTGAAAATAAACTTTTCCAATTTGTTATTGTCGTCGATAAATGCAGTTTTTATGAAGATCTCATTGTCGGGTGTGCTTTTGCTGATTTATATCTTCTGGTTTTTCAATGATGGGATGGAATTTGTAGCCTGCCTTTGATCACAATGTGAAATTTATTGGAAGAATTAGGTTCCCTTTTTGTCATAATCTTGTAGGTTTCACTACTTGACCAATCTAATGGAATTTCTAAGAGGCAGGCTGTTCCAAAATGTAATGTAAAAGAAATTCACTACTAAAATAGGGCTCATGTTAGATATAAAGCTAATGAGAGAGTGGACTAGATTCAACCGGATTACTGGTAAATTTGTGACATTCCGTGTTCAATATCTAGTTCTGCAGATCAGCCATTTCTTGTTTTACAATTTGGTCAACATACACATCTACTCAAAACCGTTTTGTTCCTCTCCCACCGAAATGATATTTAGAGAACAAGCAAAAATTTGTGCGCTGAACGATGTACTAGGCATAATCTTTGATACAAAAATTCCAATGAAATTTTTAGGAAGATTAAGGGGTACAAAAAGGTTAGGATAGGAAAACTGAAATACTGCTGTTTATCATACTTAGATCGAAACTCCAAAATTTTCAAAACAAGGCAATACACATTAGAAAAGAATGAAAAATACGGTGACAATGTGTCAATGACAATTTACGGTAACCTAAGAGGAGCCTATAAGACAAAAGATTTCGTAAACATGGTAGCTGAGGTGGTTGGTCAGTTTGCCGTGCAATGAAATGTTAGCTGATAAAGAAGCCATCTTTCTTATTTAAATGCAAAATCACGTAAAAATAGTACAACTGATAAAGATCCATAAAAGGGAACATAAAACATACGGTCACATTATGATAAGGAGTTCAATCTAAACAGGGCTGCCGATTTCCTACTTCATGAAGACAAACATGCTAAACCTCCCTCATAATTGTACATACTCCCAACCAAGAAAAAGGCATAGAATTAACATCTACTACTTCATTTCCTCTTCTTAGCTGGTGGTTGATCCTCTTCCTCTTCCTCGTCCTCTTCTTCTTCCTCTTCATCCTCACCATCCTCATCATCATCCCCATCGTCGTCATCATCATCGTCGTCATCACTGCCTTCATTACCATTAGCCTCAGGATCATCCACTGGATCTGCTTCTTCTTCATCGTCCCCCCCTTCTTCACCACCTGAAAAGTCTTCATCACCAGCATCGTCATCATCATCCAGATCATTGTTGTCATCTTCATCATCATTGTCCTCTGGATCACCGGCATCACTGTTCTCAGGTCCTGGCTTTTCCAATCTATGAAGCTTGTTGATGAGAAACCTGTAGATGTTTGTCATTCACTTATTCCGCAATTTCCTCGTACACACCATGCAGTAACAGAACTGCCTAAGGCTTATTCTCAATATTTTTTGGATCAGAAAGATGAATCAATTGAGCATGCATCAAGAGAAGGATGACTCAACTACTGCATGTCTTGTGAAGATTTAAAGAAAGTAGCGTTGACAAAAGCAATGTGAGTATATAGAGCCGAATCGAATGAGTGAAAAAATAATTCATGCAACTCACCCCCAAAGTTTATTAGATATATGACTTAGCTGGTTAGTCCCTTGTTCAAACTAGACAACAACAAAGCAACATTTCCAATAAATTTGGAGACCTGTCCAGAAATTGTAATTACCTTTTTTCCACCAAGTTTGGCAGCCCATCGATGTCATTCAACAGAGTTCCTGTCTGTGAACACAATTTGTACTGTTAAGGGACTTTAAGAAGCAATACATGTGCTCAATAAAGCACTTATAAATATTTCTGTAAGCATAGGTCCTATGGAACCAGATTGACATGACAATGAATACAAAACATGGAATTAAGCCTCCGTATGGCAAACAAATTTATAAATGAAATTATAAGTTCAGTCAAAGTCGAACATCAATTTCAACCACACGTTTCATTAGATCCACAACTAATCCTCTTTATAAACCATTTATAGATTTGCTAATGGAGGCTAAAATCAAGAACTAGATGAAGCAATTGTAGTGCAAGCAGAAATTGCTCAGTGCCGTATGCTATTATTTGACCAGCAAATGATGCGAATAGGGGGCTCTGAACTTAGTTGGAAATAAATCTAAACTTCCAGAAAGTAAAACAGAAGTTAGGATTTCACAAATTCAGTGCACGCTGAGTTGCTCAAATTCACGTGAATCGTCATCTAATAACAATAAAGCAGGGACAAATTCAGATTCAGAAAAGAAGACAAGAAACAGAAAGTCCTGATATCAACTGCGGCGAGCCATGGGACAAGACAAGTGATACTCAATATATATCAAAATAATGGTACCAAAAGGCGAAATAAGTTTTTTAGAGTGAAAACTGATGCAATCCACCATATTGACATGTCTTTATCCTAAGATCAGCAATACAAACCTTTTACTTCTACTCTTCCACAGAGAAAATTAGAATGGAAAAAAGTAGGCTGTTGGGTTGAAACAAAAGGTGCCAAAGATAAAAAATTGGCAAAACAGATTTTTAATGTTATTGCACAGAGTACTTGGATATCTTCACATAAAACCGCACTAGAATTGTAAAAAATAAAATGGCTTCCCAAATTTACTATATTTAGTATTTGCTTATGAAACCCCATATCTGTTGGAACTATATGCTACATCCATTCATGATCCTCAAACTTCCAGTTTCTAACTTTCTATGTTTTCTTGTTTCAGCATCTTCTGTTGATCATTGATTTTCCTTTTTCCTTTTGCTTTCTGACGTTTTCAAAACTTACTTTAACAGCAGCCAGTTCACAACATAAAATATACTTCCCGGGGAAACGCCATTTACAGAAAAACAGAACAATGATATGAAATTGAAATTTTACAACGGCAGCAAATACTTCTGTCGTTTAGGCCTACAAAAATGCAATACCTTTCAACCAACCAAAAAAAAAAAAAAAAAAAAAAGCCCATAAATATGCAATCACCTGAGATTATGAAAACAATTAAGTATAAAACAGCATACTAGCGGAGAAATTATTACTGTGTGAAAAGGTCGAATATTTAATTTCAGTTTTCATTTACTTTCAATCTATTTTCTCCAGCACTGTTGAAACTTTAGTTCAAACCATAAAAGAGACAGCAGAACATACTCAAGACTCAAAATTCATTCTTATATCAAATCTTCAATACATAAACTAAAAATACTAAAAAAAACCCCCGTCAAATTGAATGAAAAAAGAAAAAGCCTAAACCGAATTTTTGAAAATCTTATACCTTCTCCCTGTGTGACAAATAAACTCACAAAGGAAGGTACAATAGAAAGCCAAGAAGCAAATTTCTTAGCAACCCAGAAAAACAACATAAACAGCACTCCAGTTGCTCAAAAGTCAAAACTAGAGCAAAATTGAAACAACCCACAGCATAAAAATCAAGTCTCTGCAATTAAAAAAGTAAAAGAATTTCAAGTTTCGAGAAATTATATACCAGCATAAGAAGGCAAGCAAGAGACTTTTGAGCAGCCAAAAGGGTGTGTACGACTGCAACTTCCACAAATGAACACGCCATTAGCTGCTTCCTCAAAGTACTACAGCATAATTTACCCACGTCCATTATTCCCAAACACAAGATTGCCTAAAAACACCAAAAAGCAAACAAGAAAAAGAGAGCAAAAATTATAAGAAACGAAACAATGGACTTTACACGGAGAAACTAAGGGCCTAGGTTTGATTTAGCCGTTTAGCATGTGTCCAAAAGGGTGCTGTGAAGGAAAGGAAATTTCTACTGCGGTAAGACTCTAGGGTTTTGATGGTGTTAAATAGTATTTCTACATTTTAGAGGGACTAAAATGTGATAGGTGTAAAACTTTTTGCATCTATGGGTGTTTACTGCTTAGGATCCAGTGACAGATATAATTTGTTTACTTCACGCGCTTGACAGAGAGTGGCAAGCTAGAAGATAGAGATCACGTGATATCTGCTTCCTGATTGGCCGTTATGATGCTTACTCGTATATGCGCGTGATGCTCTTGTCTTTGCTTATGAGTATTTTCATCATTTTACAATCACCGCACTGGTCTGTAACATGTGTTCACGAAATCTGTTGAATGGTTGGTCAACGGTGCACACAATTTTAATTAAAATTAAAATCAATAACTAATTTTAATTAAAATAAGAAAACAAACTTTTTTTAACAATACATTTCATCAATTTTTATTAAAAGCTACTAAACATTTAATTTTAATAGAGGCTAAATTAATGGAGCAAAAAGTTACGGACATATATTACGTTGGTAAGGGTCGAGGGAAAATTAAAGATATGATTATGATTACCAATTCTCTATTTTCAAAAACCGGGGTTCTAAATCCATTCGTTCTTCCCTTGATAGCCATAGCCATAATCATAGTGGAAAAATTGTTACTTTTTCTTAAGAGTTCGAGCATTGATTTAGGACAGAATTCTATCCTTTTTGCAAAGGCTTCATGAACTACGTACTCGATACGATCTCCTTGTGAACGTGACATTTAGCATATGTAATTCATTGTTGCCATGTCAGCTAGATATGATTGGATAGTACATGATAATATTAAGAAAAAAAAAGTTGAAATGATGCAATTTCTCATCCTCTAATTATTGCCTCTTATCGTTTTGTGCAATTTTCTGATAGTCAAACGCTCCTTGTGCATTTCTATTTAACATGGAAGGAAGAGCATATATAGTATCTCTTTTCCCTTTCCCCTCTAATTCCTTTTCTACCTCGAGGAAAATAAAAGTCATGCTCATTGTTGACTCGTCAGATTCCCATAGATAAACAACCTAATTAAGTCATTCTCAAGTTGTTGCAAAAAGGAAATAAGCACCGTTACAATGTAAAACATCTATATATTAGTCAATTCAATACAAGTTTTTTTTTTGTCAAAAAATAACTTATGAGACCTTTACATAGCAACAAAGACAAAACTGACATCCAAAACCAAATAAAGAATATAAATCAATGAACTGACAGACAAAACACTGTTATTGAGAAATTCCTCAACCGAAAAAAAAAAAAAAAAAAAAAAAAAAAACACTCCTCAAAACAAAAAAAAAAAAAAAAAAAAAAAACAGTAAGACTCCATGCTTTCATAGATTAATGTGACTGGAAGGCGATGAGAATTAAACAGAAACATGCAAAAATGATTTCTGCCATGCCATCTTGTCCCAGAAAACTGGAAAACTAGTAGTGATTGTGGTCATGCCATAGTTACATAAAAAGCTGCCAAACCAGTGTAACAGAGCTCCTATAGTTACCTGCAGACAGGGTATATACCATCATCTTAACTCATTCAGTAATGGCAAAAAAAGAGAGATTGATGTTATAATTAGAACATAAAAGATATTAAGAAATGGAAATGCCGTTTATTATTAATTACAGCCTCATTTTCCCATATGAAACTTCTAAATTTTACAATTTATATTTTTGTTGTGATAGAATAGTACAACTAAGTTACATTTATAATTTTATGGCATGTTTGGGGGTGTTCATATGGATATGATTGGATAGTATGATAAACAAGACTTCAACGTTTTCTTTTCTGTTTTCTTAATACTGTCCAGTGCTATGCAGTCAATAGAAGCAGGACATGCAGCCGCTTGGTTAAACATATAATCTGAAACATGTGTGCGCTAATCCAAACATAAAACAAACTGATAAAATCTCAGCTTTTCATGTCCGCATTAACTTGTTAGAAACCAAGGAGTCCTCAACATTTTCTTTCTACTCGAAGTAAAAAATCTGTGAAGCCTCAAATGTTCCTCGGTTCATTCATACTGGATTTTGTCTACCAGTCACAATTCCAATAAAGCAACAAAATATTCTCATGGCTAATGTTTCTATAGTCCTGTGGCTAACCAACCTATGACGAGCAATTACTAATTTATTTTTCCGCCACTAATGACACCTTGGCGTTCATTGTAGTAAGAATGCATCACCAAAAGCTGTAAAATTGGATACAGCGTTCGAATTTTTTCTTTTGCGACAGAAGCAAACCACCCTAGGAAAACAAATTGCTTGCAAAAATGTGCATCACTTGGTAATGAAGTAAAACATTTAGGAACTCTAATGTACAGAAGACACTGCATATTCACCATATACTTACACATATGCACACAGGGAGAGAGAGATGGAGAGGGAGAGGCAATAGTAGTCTGTAGGAAGAATTTAACAACCCAGATAGTTATCAGAGGATTCCCACTTCCTCAGAAACAATATTTGCCATGTCTGCTTAAAAGCAGCTACTATTAGACTTGGATTAGTGTACTTCTCATACGATCAATTGTATTATCAGGAGATTTTAGGGTTGAAAACAAGAATGTTTTATTGAATTCTTTTTCCATACCATCCCATACCTGCAGCACGAATCCTCTTTCTTCGGTCATATGAAACCGTGTCATTATCGATCATAATCTCACTCACTATCATATATTCTATGTGTTAGAATTCATTGAATGAGATGAAAGAAAGCCTTCATCATTGAAGCAAGATACATTCCATTAAAGGAGGAAAACAAACCTCCATGAAAGGAGGGATTGGAATACAATCCAATGAACTAAAAGGTATACAAAGTCTTGTATTTATAGACACAAATGTGAATGGCTAACTAGAATAACTAACATCTAACAACTAACTAACTAACTAATATAACAACAGGAGACAGTTGGACATACGTTGGAAGCAACTGGAAATTGAAGGAATTTGTGGAATCTGTTGAACTGCTGGAATGTATACTCTAACACACACCCCTCAAGATGAACTTTGGAGATCCATCTTGAAGATTACAGAAAACATTGGATGTACTGGAGGGGAAAACCCAATCACATCTGATAAAGATCCTGCACAGGTTGTGAAGTTATTGGAGAGAGTCAAGTGACGATTCTGATTCGGTAGATGAGTCTAGCTGCAGGAAATAACGAGGCAATACCAGGAATATATGCAGAAATTACTAGAGTATCTGATATAGGAATGGGATAGAGCCTCTGCAAGATCTTGGCAGAATATTCTCAAAGGTAGTTACAAAATTTGAGGGTCAAGAAAATGGTAACATTCCAGCAGAGCATTCTGCTATTGATCTTGATTTTTATACTATCGTTGAAGAACTGATGGAAGTAGGGCCTGAGAGGTTAAAAGAGGCATTGGCTGCACTAGGTTTGAAGACAGGTGGTACCCTTCAACAGCATGCAGAGAGGCTTTTTCTTGAAAACCATATACCTCTTGAGAAGTTAGATAGGAAATATTTTGCCAAAGGCCCTCGTGGTCCGTAACAAAATGATAATGCTCTAACCCCACAACCAAGTGCAAATGTAAAAGAGATTGCCAAGGAAATGGAAGCAGAACGTGATGAGGAAGAGGTACAAGATTTATTGAACTGCTTGATTCCTTGATGGAAGGTGCAGAGAGCAGCTGCTGGAGCTCTACGAAACCATGTTGTCGGTATTGAACCGAAGAAGAAGTCTTGAAGATTGAAATTCCGATTGTATCAAATCAGCTAATGATCTGAAGCCAAAGTTATCTTCAGATGCAGACAAATTGGTGGATGATCTGAAGCCAAAGTTATCTTCAGATTCATCAGCTTTGATACCAGTAAAATGCTGAAAAATGAAGGCAGCAGTAGGAAGCAAATAAGGTCTGATACCATGTTAGAATTCATTGAATGAAATGAAAGAAAGGCTTCATCATTGAAGCAAGAGAGAAATCTTCATCATTGTAGCATGATACATTCCATGAAAGGAGGAAAACAAACCTCCATGAAAGGAGGGATTGGAATACAATCCAATGAACTAAAAGGTATACAAAGTCTTGTATTTATAGACACGAGTGTGGATGGCTAACTAGAATAACTAACATCTAACAACTAACTAACTAACTACCTAAACTACTAACTAACATAACAACTGGAGACAGCTGGATACACGTTGGAAGCAGTTGGAAGTTGAAAGAATCTGTGGAATCTGGTAAGCTGCTGGGATCTGCTGGAATGCATATTTTAACGCTATGGTGTCTCTCTATCCCTCTTATTGACCTTGCCTAGCAATAATTAGCAAATTTTGACATCACTTTTCTCTCCCATGAGGGCTTGCGTTAAGTATTTCAATAATTTGATTCACTTTTCCAATATTTCTTGATTAAGCACATATCCTGACATTAAAAACAACAGCACTAATTTTGTTTGACTGATGTTTTGAAGTCAAACAACTGACCGCACCAAATGCCATGGAGTTCCACTATGTATTTGTCGTAACTTCATATGTTTACATCAGTCAAAAGAGCCAGAGCTTTCCTTGAGATAAATGAGTCTTCCTACCTTTCTATGATTGAAGGTGCTTTGTATCCAGGTTCACTCATTTTCTCGATATCCTATTTCAGCTATTTTATTCGAGAGGCCTCTAATATAACATAATTACCATACTAATCTACCTTATTATACCTGGCACACAAGAAGCACTTTCTTAAATGCTTGAAATTGATTCAACCCTTCTATAATAATCTGGTAAATTCAGTACTTGAAATAAATTTACACTCGTATGAATTGGGTTTCTGGGAATAAGTGTTTAAAGCGCAAGTCTACACTAAATTTTAGTATTTCTCTTTAAATTGATACCATGAATTCGATATATCCTTTTTCTGCACAAAGCATTTTACCACATTATTCATTCAACTCACTTCAAACTTTGAGAAGCGTCTTATTACTCTATTTCCTTCAAAGCATGATATACTTGTAGATATCATCTACTTTTAGCACTAAAACAAGTAAGATGAAGTGCATGTTGCAAGATAATTGCTACCAATATGGCAAGCTAGTATTTACCAAGTATGCAGTAAGCACAGATCCTGGCCAATGCAGTTCCACTGTGTGTTTTTCCCCTCCTTGAAATGAACAACATCAGCACTTAAGCATGTTCCAGGGCATGATAGATTTTTGAAGCTCGTCTCCGAAGTAGTGGCTCTAACCTGAAAGCGGGAACACTGTTCTGCCACTTCTTTGCTTCATACATCTCATTCCATGCCTGTACTATCTCACTGATATTGAACCCCAAGCCTGCAATCATATCATGAGGTCAGACATACATCAACGCTGTAATGGCTTGTTTGGTGAGGTGGAGAATACATGACTCAATAATGTGAAAAGAAAATGAAGTCAAAATTTTGTACATAATCGTGTCTAGTACTGGACTAAACTAGCCCTAATAGTTTATGTACTAATATGAAATATCAAACAAATTTAGATACCATTTCGTATTATACCTTCCAGTGCAGTATCATTGGAACAATGGTTCTTTATCATAACAGCAATATCCGTTGAAGAAGCTCCTGCTTGTTCAAATTTTTCAATAGCAACCTCCAAACATTCGTGCCATACAGGAATGCCTATTTTATATTCCATAATAGATCTTTCATACAGCATGGTACCCCATAAAACATATATTTGAGATGTAATATTCTCAGCCTGTTCTTCAGCTTCCTCTGCAGATATATCTTTAAACATGTTACCCATATTCATTTTCTGCAACAAAGCTGAAATTTTATTTGGGTGGGAGAGTGTATATTGACGCTGCTCCTCTGCTTCCTCCCACATCTCCATACCTTTTTCGATATTTTCCTCGGCATTATTGTAAAGCTGAAGAACTTCTTCTGTTGCAGGCCATGATTCCAGATCAACGTTAGTAGCAATAGCATAATACCAAGAGAGTTTTGCCTGCTCAAACTGTTTCTGCGCAAGAGCTAGAATAGCGTCATAGAAGTCTGGTTTAATTTTCAGCGCTTCATCGTATATTTTTCCTGCTTCCGTGTATTCCTTTTGAGCCCAATCATATGCAGATTTGATCTGTGCAAGTATAGATTCCCTGGAAGAATCTTCTACAAAATATACCCTCTTCCTTGCCCGGGACATGTGAACATTTCCCCAATTGAATAGAGCCAAAGCTGCCATCTCCTGGAACTTCTCTGCAGCTGTCGCAAAAAGGTCTTGTGCCTCATCACTAGTGACTGTCTCTTCCATAGCTTCAGAATATAGCTTCACACCGAGCTCATGGAGATCAATATAAGCATCTGTATCAAATCCAACATAGTTCTTGAATAGTTGAGCGAACTGGATGATCCAATCATTGATACAAACTGACCCCTTCTCGATTTGCTTCATTTTTCTTACATTCCCATTTTCTGTAATGCTATCTTGTTTTATGTCTAGCTTGCGTACGACTTGTCCTGTTTTAACCTTTTCAAAGAACGGATCTTGATCTGGATTAACTTCAACTATATACAGCTTGACAGAACCACTTTCTACAGATGCTTCAGCCCATCTCAGTTCTTCAGTTGTCGTGATTGTGACCAAGTCACCTTCTTGATCCCTATACTTAACAAGAACAGCTTTTGAGCTAGGGAACCGATCAGAAATTATTTCCCTCAGTTTCAAAATACTGCAGTTGACAGGAATCTGAGCCCATCTTATATCTTCTCCAAATACTAATTTCACCGTTCTTTTGGGCTCCACCTCCAATGTATTACTTATTTTCTCTACCTCCACCACCACCTTGTCTTCAGCCTTCTTTTCTTCAAACCGATCTTGGGAGTTCTTTAACGCGACTTCGTCCTCAGTCTTCCTTTCCTCAGTTTTCTCCTTCTGTTTCTTTTCATTACTTAGGTTCTCAGCCTCTTTTTCCTCGGTTTTCTCCTCAATTTTCTTCTTCCCCACATTACTTTTCTTCTTCTTCATCTTCTCTTCGATCGCCTTGGTTGGTGTTGAAACCGAGGGTGGTTCAAAATATTCAGGTAATGGAACAGGATCCAGCGGAATGTCATTATCTGTCGTGCCCCTTTTGTCGATAGCTGTTTTCACCCTCCCTTCAATTTCAGCTGCCATGAAATTATTGGGTTCCATCTTCAAAACCATCCCAACATCTCTGAGCGCCAAATCCAACCGATTTAAAGCCTCATAACATCTTGCTCTTTTCAACAATGCTTTACTATATTTCGGTGTAACTTCAAGAGCCAAATTGCACTCATGGATCGCCCTCGGAAATTCACTAATGCCCAACTGCATATAACACGCTGCCATATTACTCCGAAGGTGGGAGACATTGATATGGTTCCTTGGAAGCAAATTAATAGCTTTCTCATATTTTAACATGGCACCTTCATAATCCCTGCTTTGAAACAACCTATTCCCCTCATCCTTCAATTCCTTCGACAGCAAAATGAACACTGCTGTGTCCTTGTCCATCGCTCTTGGGTTATTCTCATTACCTCTACTTTGTCTCAAATCAAATGATTTACTTCCCCACTCCATCTTGTTCTTCCCACTATTCTTCCCCATGTTAAACCAAGATTTCAAACTACAGAAAAGCTTATAAACCTTTTATAACCAACAATTTNTGTTCTTCCCACTATTCTTCCCCATGTTAAACCAAGATTTCAAACTACAGAAAAGCTTATAAACCTTTTATAACCAACAATTTTAACTGAATCCAATCCCAGGTCCAAAAACTTGAGCTTTCGCAATCACTTGACGAACCAAATCAATCAACAAATAAATAAACAAGAAAAATCACCAAACAAAACACAGAACAACCCACCAAAACTCAGATGCCAATATCGCTCTAAACGATGGGTTTACATTAAAATTATATGAGAATAGCTCCGAGGAAAAAAAGAATACAATCTTCACCCTAAAAGGTCAAATAGGAGCAATGCAAAAACAACAAGAAAGGAAGAAGGACTCAGAAAATTCCAAGATTTTTTTCCCGTCCAAATCCCAATTCAGAGAGAGAGGATTAGAAAATGAAGACGAAAATATACCTTTATTCGGCTACAAGCAACCAAACCAAACCAAGATTGCAGATTCTCTCTCTCTCCCCCCAAAGAACAGCAGGAATATGAGAAAATGATAAAAGAATTGATTACTTGCCTGTAAAGATTCTGTCTTTATTAAAGAACCTTGAAAATGTCTCTTGTGATTTTTCCGGGAAAATCAAGAAAATTTGTTGTTTTCCATTTGATAGGATTATCTATTGCGTATACGGAAAGAGAGAACGAGAACCAGAAAATGTTTGTTTATTGCAAGAACAAACAAGAATTTTTCAGTAAAAGCCACAAAAAATTAAATATAATTAAAGGAAAAATAATAGACTAATTATTTTTTTCAAGTGGGATTTTTCTGAGAATACACTATGGAGATCATGCGCCATCCGGACATGGAACAACGAAGCGTGGGGCCCGCTTTCCGTGTTCCAAGGTTTGTGGGTGAAGTTAACGGCCATTTCTCATGTTTCATTTATTTAACTACTTTTGTCTTGAATTAATTTGTTCTATATTTATTTTAATTCTTGTCCTAAGAATTAATTGCAGAAAAAAAATAAGGCTATAAATAAGTTGACAAAAAGGGTTTGCTCTCAATCATTTCAATCATTTTTAAATTTGTAAAATTTAAACTCGTTAAAGTAATGAATGATTATAATTAACACATTTTCTAAAGTTAATTTAGGCCCCATTTGATTATCATTTTTATTAAAATATATTTTTTTTCTCTTTTCTTTATCATCCATTTCTTCATTAAAATAATATTTCACATAAATAAAAACTTTTTTGTATTTTTCATCCATACATTCTTCATCAATTTACTATTCTAAAATTCATTTTCCCATAAAAATGAGTGTCAAACACCTTATTAAGTTTAGTTTGAAGAAAATTTACATAAGCTTTTTTTATTCTCATTTTTTTTCAAAATGCATTTTTTCTCTATTCTTTTTAACCACATATTCTCCATTAAAATAATATTACACGTAAATAAAAAACTTTCCTTATTTTTAAACAACATATTTTTCATCAATCTACTATTTTAAAATATATTTTTTTTATAAAAATGGGGGTCACATGATAAGTGGGTCAAAGGTTCCCTATTGGGCCCATTTTTCTTTTGTAATAATTTTTTTTCGGAAGGATATGTGGTTAAAAAATAATATTTTTTTTATTTTATTTAGAGCAAATAAGAGCAATACATATTCTAATTACTATATTTTATTGTAAATTTAGCCCTTGTTTGACAAAATATTATTCAAAAGATTTTGTTTTTAAATAGTAAATTTTTGGAGAATAGTTAATTAAAAAGTAGGAAAATAATTTGTTTTATGTGAAAAATACTTTATTGTAAGAATGTGTGATTGAAAATAAGTATAAAACAAAAAAAAGTGTTTGAAAAAATGATTACCAAACAGAGAGTGAGTTGAGATTTGCTGTCCATTTATACTTTCCAATCTGTTGTCCACCTAATTAAAAATAGACATATCGTGAAAAAATTAAAGTTGTAATCAATTTTCATTTTCCAATCTCAACATCAATTTCATTTTTCACGATATTTTAATTTGTAATTTGATGAATAGCAAATTAAATAACATAAATGGACAATAAATCTCAACTTCCAAACAGGGGCTTAATGGTTACATATGGACATATTTTAAAGTTATTTATTTTTCAAAATACATGTGACACGTCATTTTATTTTTGAGATATGTAAGTTACTTTTAAGTAAGTTATTTAGGTGCATAAAATTTAAGTTTAGCGTTCAAATTATTTTATCATAGAAATTGACCTTCAAGAATTGACACCTAAACTTGTCAAATTTGATTGATTTTATGATTTCTAAATTGATGATATAAAGAAACTTGATAGTTCGGACTAACCTAACCCGTATAAAATTTTTAAAAGAATAATGCTATTTGTTCACAATCAAATTGACCATTGCATTCCAAAATTTATTTTTTACCCATATAATTATCGGTGCGACTGTTTTTTTTTTAGTCGATGTTCAAATATAATCAAACTGGGACTAAATAAAAAATAATATCACTACTATATAAAAAGAGCAATGTTTCGCTACTGTAGAAGAACAGTAGATTCTTCTATTTCACAGCAAATTTTTTTTTCATCTCTATAGCAAAAACGATGCCGTCTGCAAACAAAAAAATACGTGCAGGCTACAGCGATGCACCCACTTGTCCTCAATTTAGATGGATCTTTCTTTCTTCTTCTCCATTTTCAGACGTTACTGCCTGTGTCTCTCTATTTTACCACGCCAATTATTTATTGTATATTTTGTATGGATTGATTGAGTTCTGGTTGTTCTGAATTTTAATTCTTATTCTTGTTTTTAGTGAAATTTGTGGACAACAGCTCAATTTCATTTGACGGAACTTGATTGATTTTTTTCTTGCTTTTTTTGTGAATTGGTTTCATTTCGAATTTTTGCTTTTAATGTTTTTAAGGAATCACGTCTATTGAGGCTCAAGCATGAGCCTCCGTTATTATGGAGGCTATGGAGGCATTTGCTTGAGCCTCCATAATAACGGAGGCATTATGGAAGCCTCTATAATGCCTCCGATATTATGGAGTAGCCTCTATAATGCCTCCGTTATAATGGAGGCTCAAGCAAAAGCCTCCATAATAATGAAGGCTTACTCTTTCTCTATTTTTACACGCTATAATTATGTCTTTCTATTTCTCCACACTATATCTTTTATCATTTGCTCACGCTATCAACCATGTATTTTTAGAAAATTTATTTTTGAGCACATAAGTAAGTTTAAATAAAACATTATTTTTATATATGTACGTAAAAGGTATATAGTAACCATTTGGATGACCAAAAAATAATATCAATCAAATTGTTTACGAACCGTTTAAATAATAATTTATTGAGGGGGTTAATTCAAGAGAAAAAGTGTTAATTGCATAAATATATTATTGAAAATATGTTTGAAGAAAAATAAATTTTAAAAAATGAAGACCAAACATGTTAACAAATGAATACATTTATTTTTTGAGAAATGAGTTTTTATTACCATTTCATTTTTATCATGAAATGATTCTAATCTTAATATGTTAGATTGTGCTTCAAAATTACATAATCTAACAAATATAATTTTTAAAATTAATTTTTATAAAGTAATATGTTTTTATGATTTTTTTTTTGGAAGGTGAAATGTAATAGTACTAAAAAATAGAAAATAATTAAATTCTTATTAATTTTTCCATTTAATTTTGTACATCATTGCAAACTTGTCGGATATTTTTTCAAAAATACATATGCCCAAAAAGTCCTTTTCGTGACACAGAGAGGAGTTCTCTGCTTCGTGTTACGGAGAAGAGGCTCCTCTCCGCGTCACAGAGATGACATCTCCGTAACACGGAGAGAGGAGCTCCGTGACACGGAGAGGTTGGGTATATATATTTATATATGTATTTTTTTTCCTTCTGCATTTGATATCTACAATTTGCTCCTAATTCTCTTCTGCATGCCCTAGGAGGCTAGGTCTCGTCAATTCATCCCCATCTCTCGCTGCCCTGTCCTCTTCTTCTACCCTTTATGCTCTTTCCCTTTGTTTTCCCTCAAGACCGACTCTCGTGGCTGATTTTTATACAACGAATTTTGGGAGCTTTGGAATTTCAGGTATTTTCAATTGGGTCTTATCTATTCATATATTTTTTGGGTTTCTGTTGAGATTTGAAGATAAGACCAAATTCACTGATAAATTGAAACTTTTGCCTTGAATGTTTGTGTGTGTTCCATTCTTTCTCTTCATGTTATGTGAAAAAACTCCATCACTATAAAATTACTTGGTTTTTCTTCAAATTTGGATAGAGAAAAATCTCTCTGGGTCTTCTTCGTATGACCCTTTGAATACAACGTTAAAGGTTAAGAATTTGAGCCTTTTGCCCGACCATCGAAGATAAAGGTGTATTTGTGGGTTGAGATTTGTAAGACTACTAGGCTAGAAATGCTTTTGGGTGACTGGTATGATATAAAGAATAAAAAGGAATATTCAATCATGTGAGTTTGAGATCGGACCAATCAAGAAGAGTGAGGCGACAGGGATGATCGAGGTTGGACTCTGCTTCACATTTGTGCTTGGAAAGGCGACCTCAAACATGTAATATTTTTACCTTTAACAGTTATCTTTTCTTGTGTTCTATGAATATGAGCATGTAACGATTTTCTTTTGAGTTTCAGTTTTTAATATATATATTTTCGTTAATTCTATTGTTTTCTTTCATTCATTGTGTAATGTGTATGGTGTTGAAATTCAATTAGTAATATATATTCACCGGTGGATTTCATTGTTAGGATAATTTAGATCATGAGAAACCCTCATTATAACTTGATGATAAAAATATGGATTTAGTAAGTGATGAATGTAGCACCTCACATTTTTAGGCAATGAAATACAAACATCAAGAAAACACTCACCACTTGAACACTTATAGTATATTTGCAAGAGTGTGGTGGTGAAGCGTCCTACCAAATATGGTTTGTTTTTACTCTTCTTTTACCCTCTACATTTTCATTGTCAATCATTTTGATACAAGTTTTTGTTCTTTAATTCTATCTTGCATATGAATGAAGTTCGTTGCTATCAAGGTTTTCATCCTCTGTTTTTATTATAAAAATATAATTATCTTAATGGAAAATTACACTTTCTTGTGCCTCTTTTTCCATTTGGTGTTAATTGTGGCATTTCGAGATTAGAATAGTGGTTTTGCTAGAAACTATGAAAGAGTAGAGGTAACAGGGAAATTTCTTAACGAATTCGATTCTTGTGAAATTTTTTGTTAGGATTTTTAGAAATATGCACTTCAGTGATGCCTATTAGCTTATTCCTTGTACTTTTTACATGGCTTGTCAGATGTGGAGAGGCATTATATTTGTATGTCACTACTTAGATTTGAATTTTGGTATAAAATGACTATTGGAAGATGAACACTGTAAAGGTCCTTATACTATAATTTATTGGATTATCATTTGGTTAAAAACTTTTAAATCATACATGAACAAAATTTATTTTAATTCCTAACTAGATTATGAGTGTATTCTATGTGTGCTTTCACTTGCATGTGTTTTGGAAGATGCAAAGGGATGATTGTAAGCGGTTGATACTACATAATTTTCTCCTTCGAATTTGTTTGTCTATATCTTGTTTCCAATTTATTTAATGGTTATGGTACTAGATAGTTGACTTGGGATGCAACTGTTTGATTGCTGAGTTTATTTTTTTTTGCTATATCCTATTTCCAATTTTTTTTGCTTAGAATGCTTTTACTGTCCAGTGGAGTATTTCTTTGACTAGCTATGATTTGAATTCTCATTATTA